AACCCCAGATCGGAAGAATACCGGCCCGTGCCGGGGGTGTGCTGCTCAGAGGGAGTCCCGGGGGCTCCCGTTAATGAATTAATTCGTTAACGAGGGTGGGCTCGGCGGCTCCGTGCCCCCTCCCGTCCCGGTAGCCGCCTCCTCCGCCGGAGGGGGGGGAGCGACAGGCAGCGGCTCCTGCCCCATGTGACTGGGGAGCGGCTGCCCCCGTCCATGGCTTGGCCTCCCCCGGGCAGCAGCAGCTCCGGCTCCCGGGGAGGAGGGGCAGGAGCTGCTGCTCCATGGGGAGGAAGGGCAGCCCCCGATCCCCCCAGGCGGAGGGGGGATCCCGGGCCGCCTCCCCCCCTTCCTCCTCCTCCTCCTCCTCCTCCTCCCCAATCTGGGGTCCCCCCCTCCCTGCCAAGCATCCTCACCCGACTGCCTGCGCCCCGTGTGCCCGTGCAGCCGGTCCGGCAGCGTCTCGGCACGGTCCCGGGGCTGGAAGGGCTCTGTGGGGACAGGGACACTGGCACCCGGTGCCCCACGGTCCCCAGGGGAATTGGGGTGACCCGGCCACCGGCTTCTGACCCGGGGGAGGGAGGGTGGTGGCGGTGACGGGGACACCGGAGATGGCATGGCACTCACCGGACTGCCGGCGGCACTGGCGCGGCTCGGCGGCGTTGTCACCCAAGGGTTGGCAGGACCAGCTCTTCTTCAGGCGCTCAGGGCTGCAGTGGGGCAGGCGAGGGGGGTCTGCGGGCACAGGGGGTGAGGCTGTGAGGTGGCAGGGGGGACAGGCGAGGGCAGGGAGGGCACTGTGGGGCAGCGGTGGTGACACTCACAGAACAAGTCCATCTCCAGGATGGCTTCCTTGGCCTGGGATGGAGGAAGGATGGAGAGAGATGGAGGGTGAAGGTGGGGTGCTGCCACCTCACCCTTCGCTCTGCCAGGGTGGGGGGTCCCCAGTGCCAGCGTGGTGCCCATCCCCCTCTGCCCCCCACCTTTTGGGGGATGATGGCGTGGTGGTTCTCCAGGATCAGCCGCTTGATGTGGTGGGTCCACACGCGCTTCTCCTCCACGCTCTTGGCCTGGGGTGGGGTGGGGGACACAGGGAAGGTGGTGAGGCTGGGCAGGGGGGGGTCCTTAGGGTGCACCCCACCCCGTGGCCCCCCTACCTGCAGGTTGTGCTGCTGCTTGCCGTGCTTGTAGTGGGCCAGGCTGAAGCAGAGCGAGTCCCGCGTGCTCTCGATCAGCATGAGGGAGGAGCACTGTGGGGAGAGGCCATCAGCCCCCAGGTACCCCCCCCCCA